AAAGCCACTCTTGGGGCTGGTGGCCAGAGCCGGTGACTTTTCCCTGGGTGGATTTGAGCCTGGAAGGTCAGGTCAGGTTCCTGTGACCTGCTAAATGACTCTTGTTTTCTTCCAAGGCCTGAGTTGGAGCTGGCTGCTCAGCCAGGCCTTTGTCAGTATCAAAGATGGAGATCTCCAGTAGTGGGGGAGGGGGACTTCCCTCCTCTGCTCCCTGAGGAGTAAGGATGTCAGGCTTCTACTCATGCTGGAGTCTTGGTTCCTGGGTCCTCTCTGGTCTGCAAACTGCAGGATGAAGATGTCTGCTCCTTGTCAGTTCTTGCTGGTGTTAAGTAGAATCCGTTCCCCAACTGCGTCAGGTGCCTTTGTCCCAGACTCTCTGTGTGGCAGGTATGCCGCCACCACAGCCTCGGCTGCTGGCAAGTGCTCAGATCTGTCTCCTAGACTGGATTTTCTCTCTCTGGCCTAACTCTCTGTCCTGTGATGGCACACTTGGTGTGATTCTCTGGCTTAGGACTGTTCACTGGAACACTAAAACTGCTTTCTATGTGAGAGCTTGTTTAGCCTCCAGCTTCTCCTCCACCATCTCCCCGTCCATCTTTTATTTTTTCTGATTCTTAAAGAAATACATCTATTGTATTGTGCTCTTAATTCTGGCTTTCATTCTTTTTAAATTTGTAAACATATAACTTAATTACTACCTTATTTACTATAATTATCTTTATCCATACATGAAGGCAGTATTTAATAATTATCATTTAAAAAGATGTAAAATGTGTACATTCCTGTTATCAACAAATAAGATCTATTCTTTATTTTAATAGATTGACACATATGGAACCATCTGTTTACTCTCTCCTATTATCAGAAATCAAAACCTGGAATATTCACTTAACTTTTTTAATGTTTAACTTGTTCACCGGTAAAGGGGAAAACTAGAAGATTATCTCTATGATCCATTTTTTAAATAGAAGAATCTCATAATAAAGCTAGTAGAAAAGCAAAGGAGGGCCTCAGTGGAATGCCTACGAGAACAAATTCAATGGCTTAGCTGAGAACAGAAGCATATCTTCACATCCAAACCAGCTCTCAATTAAGAACATTCCCCTGGCTGTTTCTCAATCTTATTTTCAGACCTGTACATCAATATATCAGAAACACCAATTTTCCTTCAAATTTAAAAAAAACTGTAAGGGAAAATTTCCATAACATTAAACTCTCATGTGTTAATGTTTTTCTTTTGTGCAATGAGGCAATTTCTAATGCCGGGTAAGTTTACCATTTAACCTAGCTATTCTACTTCTAGAAAGGTTTTCTTAGGATATCATTTAAAAAATGCAAAGTGGATGGGGGTTAATATTTCAATATTTAAAAAATGGAAATGCCCAACACATGGACCTAGGAAAATAATGTCTGTCAATGTGGTACAATATAATATTCCAATCTCAGACATGACAATAATACTACTCTGAAAGAATGCTCAGAGCATATTGAAATAAAATCAGGCTGAAAATAATATTATAACATTTTCTTGTTTTGAGGTACATGTAAGTAGATGAAGAGAGTAGTAAGAGCATGAAAAAGTGATTTTGGAGGAAGGGGAGGGGAACTAATAAGCAATCATACAATAAGATTGTCTATAAAAATAAATACCAGAATCTTGGCACAGTAATGCAGTTCTTCCTTTTTTACTTTTAATTTTTTTAATTAATGCTACTTTTATTTTATATATTTTGTATTGTAAAGATACTATACAGAGAGGTTACAATTACATGAGTAAGGTAATGAATACATGTCCTATCAAGCATTGTTACCCCCTCCTTTGTTTGTCCCCTACCATCCCAACCCTCTCCACCTCCCCAAATCCTCCCTTGCACGTCCCCCCTCCCAGCCCACTAGTTGTAAAGTTAATTTGCAACGTAGGGTCTTGTAATCTCATTGTTACAGTGAATCAACCTGTATCCCTATTTAAGCATTTTGTTTTTTTCCCTTCCCCTCCCCAAATCAGAAAAATGTATATACAAGATGCAGGGGATCAGAATCAAATACAGTGAAAACAGGGGTTATACCATGGGAGAAGATCATACAAAAGAAACAAAAAAAATCACATAGCACATTATAAGTACATTTAAACAACAGCAAGAAAGATAAAACCACTTGTATCCCTATCTTGGGGTTCATTTTGCTTAGCATCATCTTATATTGTCATGTACACATAGTTTTTTACCTTTTCTGCTTTTCCTAGACTTATACTAGTTGTTGCTAGACATATACTAGTTGTTACTAGTTGTTCCCCATGGGAGACCATGGGACCTATGTTTTTTTTGGGCCTGGTTTACTTCACTTAATATAACTTTTTCCAAGTCTTTACATTTCCTAACAAATGGGGCAGTGTCATCTTTCTGAGAGAGGCACAGAATTAGAAAAAAATTATATACATATATATCACATTTTCTTGATCCATTCATCTACTGAGGGGCATCTGGGTTGGTTCCATATCTTAGCTATGGTGAAAATGCTGCAATAAACATAGTTGTGCTGGTAGCTTTAGTGTGACCTTGTTCGTGATCATTTGGGTAAATGCCCAAAAGTGGGATTGCTGGGTCATCGGGGAGCTCTATGTGGAGTCTTTTGAGGAACTTCCATACTGCTTTCCAAAGTGGTTGAACAAGTTCACACTCCCACCAACAATGCAGTAGAGTTTCCTTTTGGCCACATCTGCTCCAGCATCTGTTGTTATTAGACTTCTTGATTATAGCCATTCTAACTGGGGTGAAGTGGAATCTCAGTTTTGTCTTGATTTGCATTTCTTTTATGGCAAGAAAAGTTGTGCATTTCTTCATGTGTCTATTGGCCATTCTTATGTCTTCTTCAGGGAAGTCTCTCTTTTAAGTCTTTAGCCTATTTGTTATTTGAGCTGTTCTTTCTTTGAGGATTTGTTGTTGGGGGATTTAGATTTTTGAGTTCTAAGTATATTTTAGATATGAGGCCCTTGTCTGTTGTATGGCTAGTGAAGATCTTTGCCCAATCTGTGGGCTTTCTATTTATTTTGTTAGCTATGTCCTTTGCCATACAAAAGCTCTGCAGTTTCATGTAATCCCCTTTGTCCAGCCTTTCTTTGATTTGTTGTGTTTCTGGGTCTCTATTAAGAAAAGTTTGGCCTGTGCTAAGGAACCCTATGGTTTCTCCTATTCCTTCCTGTAATGTTTTCAGGGTGTCTGCTTTGACTTCTAGGTCTTTGATCCATTTGGAGTTGATTCTGGTGAAGGGTGATATAGAAGGAGCTAGTTGTAGCTTTCTACAGTTGTTTGTTTGGTTTTTTTTTTAATTGTATTTTTTTTGTCTTTTCTTTTTTGGTAGTGGGGATCGAACCCAGGACGTTGCGCTTGCTAGGCAAGCGCTTTGCCACTGAGCTACATCCCAGCCCCTTTCTACAGTTGTTTAACCAATTTTGCCAGCACCATTTACTGAAGATGCTGTCTTTCTTCCATTCTATTTTTTTAGCTCCCTTATCAAAGATTAGGTGCTATAGGTCTGTGGGGTCATTTCTGGGTCTTCAGTCCTATTCCTTTGGTCCCCAGGTCTGCTCTTCTACCAGTACCAAGCTGTTTGGATTAGTATAGCTTTGTGGTAGAGTTTGAAATTTGGTATTGATATTCCTTCAACAGTCTTCTTTCTGCTAAGGATTATTTTTGCTATTTGGGGTCTTTTATTGTTCCACATGAATTTTTGGGTTGCTTCTTCTATTTCATTGAAGAATGAGGTTGGGACATTGATAGGTATTGCATTGAATTTGAAGATAGCCTTTGGCAGTATTACCATTTTCATGATGTTGATCCTCCCAATCCATCTCCTCCACCATCTTCCTCTGGAATCTAATTTCAATTTTTATTTTAAAGGTGATAAACAGAGATGTTACATATGTCAAGTATTGAGTCCTTTTCTTTTTTTCCATTTCTTTTTTGCACAATGGTGTAATTCTTTAAGCCTAAATACTCAGTATATGGAGATGGAGAAAATCAAAGTTTGAGGCCAACTTAAGAGAATAAGTTAGTAAGATTCCCAATTCAACCAACAGCTGAGCATAGTGGCAACTGCCTGTCATCCCTGCTACACAGGAAGCATAAATAGAATAATTATGATCCAAGTCAACCAGACAAAGACACAAGATTCTATTTTAAAAGTATCCAGAAAAAGGATGGAAGTTTGACTCAAGTGGTAAGAATCTGGCTAGCAAGGATAGGACGTGAGTTTAAATCTCAGTACTTCCAGATAAATAAAGACTAAAAAATTAGCACTAGAAAGTATATAATGCTGATCTCTGAATTTACTTGTGAGATTTAAAAGGGAGGTGAATATGTAAGTAGAATTGTTTGTGAGTATATAGACTCACTTGCATATATTATTAGAAAATTATCTTCAAAATAAACATTTGTTTATGCTTTCAGTCAATTTCACATACTAGCAAAATAAAATGCTCTAAGATATTTTGAATTAAAAGAAATGTATTTTTTCTTTAATAAACCTTTGATTGGAAAGCGAAGGCACTATAAAAATTTCCAAACAGGTATATCCACCCAGAAGAACATATGAAAACACTCTAATAAGGTATGTCTGAAATTGCTTCTAATATTCTAATCAGAAAATTAATATATAGTCACTCCCAATTATTTCATCAAATATCTACCAATAATGCTTCCAAAACTTTATTAAGAAATAAATAAGTGGATAAATGAAAAAAATAATAAACATTCTAATTAAAAGCTACCCATCAGCATACTAGCTATAAAATAATTGTAAACCATCCAATCCTAACAATTCTAAGGTCTATGAGTTGAAGGATGGTGTAGAAGAATTCCAAATTCATTGGTCATTAAAGGAAGTTCAAGTATTCAATTCTTATGGATCCAGAAATACAAAAATAAGTTCTAAGAATTTGTCCTCTATATGAAAATGAAGATAATCTGAAAAAGACACCTAAGTAATGTGACTCTGTCTCTTACCTTATTGCATAAGTAGAAGCTGTGACCATGAGAAACAGCACCAGGACCATGCAGACTCCAGTCAGGCCAGGAACTACAGATTAAAAGGAAGAGTACACAAGTCCATTTTAAGTCAAATCATACTTTCAAAAAGTACAAAACAGTACCTTAAAATCCAAAAAAACTATGCTATGCCACAAAAAAACAAGATTCAAATTACATATCTTAAATGTATCTTCCCTTCAAACAAGACTTCTATAGAAATCAGCCCAGTTTCAAAATACTTGAGTCACTTTTCATTTTTCAGTAAAAGAGTCCATTTCTATGTTCTAAAATACCATACTCAGAGTAGTGAATGTGTACTTAGGTCTGCAAATATAAATTATACACAATATCAGTGACTACTGCCAGGGCAGAAGAACACCCTTTCTGTATTTTTCCCCATCCTCTACTCAATCTCTCGTATTCTTCCTTCTCACCCTTTTCCAAGCTACTGGTTTCCTCAGTTTCTAGTTCAGATAACTTAATTTGGACTATCTGAAATAATTTTAAATAAAAATGTCTTGGGGTACATTTTGCTTAACATTATCTCATGTGGTCATATGTACATAGCCTTTGATCTTCTTTGCTTATCCTAGACATGTCTAATCATTGCAAACAAGGGAAACCATGGGACCTATGTTTCTTTGGGCCTGGCTTACTTCACTTAAGATGATTTTTTCCAAGTCTTTCATTTTCTAACAAATGAGGCAATGTCATTCTTTCTGATGGAGGCATAGAATTTGAGATAATGTTAAGCAAAATGTACCCCAAGAAGGGACACAAATGTTTTTTTTTGTCTTTCTTGCTAGTGTTTTTAATGTACTTACAATGCACTATGTGATTCTTCTGTTTCTTTTCTATGTTCTTCCCCCATGGTATAACCCCTGTTTTCACTGGATTTGATGCTGGTGTTCTGCATCTTGAAGACACATTTTTGTAATTTGGGGAGGGGAAGGGATATTGGGGAATGCTTAAATGGGAATGCAGGCTGACCCATTGCAATGATGAGATGTACAGGACACTATGTTGAAAACGAACTTTACAATGTCAGGGTTGGGGGGGAGTGAGAGGAGTTGGGAAGGTGGGGAGGGAAGTGATGGGGGGGGAACAAAGGAGGAGGTAAAAATGCTCGATATGAAATGTATTCATTACCCTACTCGTGTAACTGTAACCCCTCTGTACAACATTTTTACGATAAATATATATTTTAAAAAAGAAAAATGTATATTTTAAACTAAAGCTTTTTCAAAAGCCACACATGCAAGAAAGAATTATATATCTGAAAAAGAAAGCAATGAAAAGGACCATGCTGAGCAAAATACAATACATTTCACAATAAAATACCATGATATAGTCAAAGAAAGAAAGAAAGAAAAGGAAGAAAGAAAGAAGGTAGGAAGGAAGAGGGAGGAAAGAATGAGAGAAGGAAGGAGGGGAGGAGAAGAAAGGGAAGGAGGGAGGAAAGAAGGAATAAAGAAAGGATAGGCAATTAAAACAGTATGGGGTATGCTTGGAGGCACCAGTGAGCAAGGTATAGGTTAACAAGGGGATGAATCAGGATAAATATTGCCAGAACAGTTTTTTTCCCCAAGTATAAAAATAAGACAAGAAAACCTGTTTAAAGAAAGAGGGGTAAAGAAGAGTGAAACAGAGGAAGAGACTTAATGAAATTTATATGCATACATGTATACACTCATTTATGTATGTATATGTATTAATTCCATTGTGTATATTTCAATATATCTGTTTATTTCAATGTATGTATGTATTCCAATGGATGCACACATATATGAATAAACATACATGCTGAAATAAACATACACAGATTGTATATGTGTGTAGAAATGTCACCATGTAACCTTTCTTTGTATAATGAATGTATGCTAATATGAACAAAGAATTGTAGATTTTAAGAAAAATTACTGCATTGATATCTTAACATTTGCAGACATATTTCTTTTTAGTATGGAAAAATATATTCTAGCATAATGAAAAACACAAAATGTGTAAACATCTTGTCAAACTTAATAACACGATCACTATACATTTAGTGTTTGACCCTATAAAGTGTCTCAAAAGAATTACTGATGAACCATAAATTGCAAGTAAAATATCAATAGTATCTTTTTTGCTATATTTTCACTACTAAATTTAATATCTTATCCAGGTTATACTTTTTTACTCTTAAAATCACACTAACAATGTTAAGTTCTAAAGGCTCTGAGAGACTCTTAAATTAGAACACAAAGTAAGACTGCTAAAACAATTGTCTCTGGAGAAGTACACACTTCACTTATCTTCTAGGCAAGGTACTCCCTATGAAACAGAGGGGATACTGAGACTGTGAGCTACTTGTAGAAGCAAACAAGCTGGGTGCAATCTAAGAACTATAGATATGAACTGCTTGGATCCCAGAGGTTTAGAATCACTGAAAAAATAACATTGAACCCTGATTACAATAGAAAAATATTCCACATAAAGAGAAAGCCAGGGGAATGATGAAAGATTCAATCTTTCGATTCTTCACTCTTGAGTACTTTCTTCTGCTCTCTTTCCCCAAAACATAGATTTAGAACCCTTAGGTAATATGTTTCCTGATATACTAAGACTAAGTCATGTCTTCCTAGGCTATTTTCTTTCCCATTATCTTTTCCATTTTCTCCACAGAAGTGCTCACTTCCTGAAGATAAGAGAAGAAAATAATCTAGTTTACACTAAAGATAAAAGGTTCAGAAAGAATCCTGTTTAAAAAAAAATAGCATGCCCTTGAGCTGGTCATATGTGGCTCACCTCTATAAACCCAGTTATGTGGGAGGTGGCAATTAGTTAGTACAATGCCAGCTGGAACAAAATATTAGTAACATTCCATCTTAACAACACCAGGAACGGAGATGCACATCTGCAATACCACCTACATTGTAGGCAAAGGTAGAAGGATCATAGTTCAAGGCCAGTCTAGTGAAAGCATTTGACACTATATGAAAAATACACTAAAGCAAAAACAATAAGGTTTATGCAAGTGATGGGGCACCTATCTAGCAAGTATTGCTGATGGAGTATCATGGCCTCAGAATAACCTAGCTACTGCACTGCCAAGCTTTTGCAGAAACAAACATTTAACCACATAGAGACTTGCTTAATATTGTGCATAGCTGTTTATTTTTAATAGTCAGGTTATGCTTAACTGAGACATCAGTCAACATATGAATGGAGAAGGACCTGTAAAATTATCTTTGCCAGAAAGCTCACCAGTAATAACCCCCTCATAAGTGTTGACATAATAAGCAACCACGTTAGACAGAATAAAAGAATCCAGTTTGTCTCACCCCACAAAAAATATAGAAAATCCACATCATTCTTTAGTGACAAAAAGCAGATCAGTTTTGACAAGGGGTAGAGGACAGAAAACATTGTTCAGGAACACAAAAATTTGGAATGCACTAATGGAAATGTTTGCCATCTTGATGTTGCTGATAGTTTGACATGATTTGTAATATGTGTGTATGTATGTATATTAAAGCCAATCAAATTCTATTCTTCACATGTATGTGTAATGTAGTAAACCTCAACTGTAAATTGATAAATTAGAAGAGGAATGAAAGAAGGTTGTTCTCCCTGATTTTAAGTAACTAAAAAAATAGACCCTTACTCAACCAAATGATTAACTATTTGTTAGACTCTAAAATGGCTACACTACATGAAATTTGTAGTTGGAAAAGTCTCTGCAATGTTTTTATTGGATCTGTACTAATATTATATAAAGTTGTTTCCTTGTAGTTTTCTATGTAGTTAAGAACACGTAGTTAAGAACTCATAGTTGGGGCTGGGAATGCGGCTTGGTGGTAGAGTGCTTGTCCAGCATGCATAAGCCTCAGTATCACATATACAGAAAAAGCCATACATGGTGCTGTGGCTCAAGTTGGAAGAGTGCTAGAGTGCTAGCCTTGAGCAAAAGAAGCTCATGGACAGTTCCCAGGACCTGAGTTCAAACCCCATGACTGGAAAAAAAGAACATGTAGTTAAGATTAGAATGGGAATGTCTGTAAATCACCTCATTAGAAGGACATATGAAAAAAATGGGTACCAAAGTGTATTGTTGAACACTAATTGGAATTTATATATACATTACTCACAAATGCCAGCATCATATGGTGGTTCATGACTAAAAGCCCAACTACATACAAGATAGAGATGGGAGTATTGTCGTTGTAAATGTTAGCAAGCCCCTACCTCAAAAACAGGCTGGATCTGGTAGCGTACAGTTGTAATCCATTATAAGAAATACAGCCTGGCACTGGTGGCTCACACCTGCAGTCCTAGCTACTCAAGAGGCTGGATCTGAGGATCATGGTTCAAAGCTAGCCCAGGAAAGAATGTCCATGAGACACTTATCTCCAATTAACCATCAGAAAAGTGGAAATGGCACTGTGTTTCAAGTGATAGAGCACTTGTTTTGAGCTGAAGAGCTGAAGGACAGCACCCAGGCCCAGAGTTCAAGTCCAATGACCAACAACAACAACAAAAATGAAATATAACAGTAGGAGGAACATGGTCCAAGATTGACCTGGGCAAGAGCAAAGGACCCTGAATGTGACATAAAGTGGTAAAGCACTTGCCTCATAAGCACAGTGCCCTGAGCTCAAAAAACCATAGAACTAAAACAAAACAAAACAAAAATCATAATCATCCACTGAAGAGTACTAAGACATGGCAGTGTATTAGAGTCATTTAGGAATGCTAATATCAAAACCTCCATCTAAACTTATTTCTTCAAATGTATTGTACCAATGAATTTATTTTAGAGCAGAACATGGCACTTATATTGAAAATCATAGCGGTATAGAATGGTTAACTTCAGCCATTTTAATATGAAATAGATCCAGATCTCCCAATGGTCTATAGATTTTGAGTTTATGGTATTATTACTGTTCCTAGGCAAAACTCTAATGTTTCTTAATCTCTTGTAAACTAAGAGAAATGATTACAACAATCTGTGTATAGATGTGTGTGCATGCATGTGTGTAGATGCATGTGTGTATGTGTGTGTCTGTGTGTGTGCTGATTCTGAGGCTTGAAATCAGGACCTGAACACTGACTTTGAGGGGTTTTTGCTCAAGGCTCAGAATCAGCACACACACAGACACACACAAACACACGTATACATATAAACACATACATACACATGCACTATACACTCTACCACTTGAGCCACAAATTCACTTCCAACTTTTAGGTGACTAATTGGAGATAGTCTTACTGACTTTCCTGCCCAGAGTGGCTTTGAACCACAATCTTCAGATCTCAGCCTCCTGAGTAGCTAGATCACAGGCATGAGCCACTGGCACTTGGCAATCACAACAATTTTTAACATTCATTATAATCAGAATTACATGTTGTACATTTTAAAGTCATGACACAATGTATATATTAGTATTTAAATGAATATTGTGATAATCCAAACTATGAAACTTTGAAATTATTTTTAATACTTTTTTAATTCTTTTAATATTTTTTTCCACTTGTTATGTAGCAAGTCTAATTAGCACACTTTATCTAAATAATTCATTATTTTTCTTTTTATTTCCTGAAATGATTAAAAGATTAGAATCCAAGCTAGAGATGTATTTCAGAAATACAGCACATGCCTAGCTTGCCCTAGGCAATCCTCAACAACCCCAAAGAAGAATAGAGATTGTAACCTGTAAACATAGTAGATTACAGATCAGCAAAAAAGAAAAAACTTGTAAATAACAATGAAAAAGAAAGCTTATTAAAGTTAGAATGGTTTAAAAATATAAAAAAGGAAAAGTAGACTACTTTAATGAAACTCCAAACTCCAGTCACAAGAAGCACACAGCAGAGAGAGATCCCCCTATATCCTGGGATTCTGGAGAGATTTATATATCAAATAATAGAGCTACAAAGTGCTTCTAATTGCTCAGATTGCTGTGTGTTGGTATACACAGTAGATCATTAAATATTCATCCACCAGAGACACAGGAAGAGTTGAATACTAAATGATTTAAGTGCTGCTCTTTTGGTATATTGGAGGGCACACCCAAATCCAGACTTAGAAGTCATCTTTAACTATATCACTAGCTACATCCCAATATATTAGACATTTATAGCTACACATTCTAACTGTCAAGAGAAATAAGCTAAAAAATTACTGGGCTAATGTGATTGCACTGGACTGAGTTACTTTCCAGATGAACCCTTGAAGAAGTTATGAAGCCAATTATATACTTGATTCTTACAAAAATAGAAGTTTTTATGTTTAGTTTTAGTTTTTAATCTATGTATATTAAATTCATTGAACAGTAGTCTTTAAAATGAAGAATTACAGTAGCTCACAACTGTAATAATAGCTACTCTGGAGGTTGAGATCTGAAGATTGTGGTTCAAAGCCAGCCTGGGCAGGAAAGCTGGAAGTGAAGCTGTAGCTCAAGAAGTAGTAGTGTGAGAACCTTGAGCAGAAAAGAAGAAAGAAAAAGCTCATGGACAATTCCTAGGCCTGAGTTCTATCCTCAAAACTTGTAGAAGAAAAAGGAAAAGGAAGAAAAGAAAGAAGAGAAAGTATAGGAGGAGAAAGAGGAAGAGAAGGTAGAGGAGAAGGAGGACAGGAGGAAGAGGAGGAAAAGATGGACCTAAGTTTCATTTACAAAATTCCTATTGTGGTCACAAACAAGCAATCTTCTATTTACTCTTTATCTTTCTACTTACTCTTTTTAATCTCACTTCTTCTAACACCATTGGAAATCTAATTGTATTGGCTTATGCAAGATTTTCTAATTGAAGTAAGATATTGAATATTTTATTGTCACCATAAGGCAATATCCAATTTAGACATATAATATATAAGTATTTAAATGAATGTTTAGTTAATCCAACATATTAAACTTATTTCAATTTATTAATGATAATTTAAATACACTTTTGCCAGTTCCTATGCAGCAAGTATAACTACAAACTTTATGTCACTTGTTCTACTATAAACTTTATTTTTTAGAAAACAATGTTAGTTTTCTACTTTTAAATTACAGTGAAAAAAAATAAACCCAAAGAGAGAAGACTACACAATAAGCACACTAAAATCTGAGAAACCTTAATAAAAATATCCTTTACCACCAGGACAACCCCAAATATGCATATGTATTGCTTCACCTGAACCTAATTTTTCCTAGGAACTATGCCTAAGAACACTCAAACATGGATGTAGAATTTCAGTCAGTAGTAATAATGCAAAAGTGAAATATATTCCAAAACTCTAATTACCCAAAGTCTAATATCCATGTCTATCATCAAAAGTAGTAACAATACAAAAATCTATTTGTAGAAAATTGCATCTCTCATTCTCCTGCCATCCATAAATTCTTCTGCGCTCTTTCACATCCTACTACTAAGTGGGGTCAACCAGATGACTCTGGAGCACCTGACTCCTCCTCAGGAAGCCATGTTTGGGTTTTAGTGTAGGTGACTAACTCAGAAGTTCACAGATCTAGCTGGCCAATACAGTATTTTTTTCATGAGATTATGTAAGACTGGGCTAACAAAACAGTGGCCACTTGCTCATGTGAGGTGACTTAAACTATCCATATTGGCAGAAGTCACAAAAATAATTTATCTTGGTCCTGTGTTCCTTAAAAGCATCTATCCAAACCCTAGAACTCTTTTTCTGTAGAAAAGACAGTACATATTGGTAAAGAAATCCAAACCACAGTAAAGTCACAAATTAGCTGTAGAAATCTTAAGATTAGCAGCCATTGAACAAGTAAAAAAAGGTTGTATATGTCAGGCAAAAGGCAAGTGGTAGCAAGAAAATATGATGAGATGTTCAGTGGTGATGGGTAGAATGTATGGTCATGTGTCTTCCAGGGACTTTCTAAGATGAGGCCAGGAAATTTGCATTTTTAAGTATCTTCTCTTCTATAGTACTACTCCTGACAACCTCTGGAACCAATGTAAAATGATGGAGTATATGAAAAATGAAGGGATATACTACTTATACAGAATTATTATATCAATTAATGTAATATCCTAGTCATAGTTTAAAAATAGCTTTAGAAACCCTACTTCCTGAAGTATTTACAAATATCTCAATGCTTTGATTTAACTATATATATATATATATATATATATATATATAAGTGGAATATAAAGTTCTGTTTATGTCTCTTAAATTAATTCATATCAGCTGTGTGCCAGTGGCTCATGCCTACTGAGGAGGCAGATCTAAGGATCTAAGTTCAAATCCAGCCCAGGCAGTAAAATCAACAAACTCTTATCTCCAATTAACAACCAAAACCCAGAAGGGAAGCTGTGGCTCAAGTGGTAGAGCATTCTCCTTAGGCCCTGAGTTCAAGCTCTAGAAAGCACTAAAATAAATAAATAATCAAATGTACACTTTTTCTTACATAGGGTTTAAGGGTGTTTTTTTTTGCTTTTCCCCTCTTGCTTGTCATCCAATTTTTGATGCATAGAAACATATTTTGACAAGAAAAACATAAGCAAAACTAATTTGTGGTCCTTGAGAAAAAAAATGTGAAATACTTTGTAAGTGACAAATGTCACAAATCCATTGGCAGAAAAAAAATGTAATTTATACACCTGAATATATAACTGTGACATGCAGGGGTAATTATACATATAACTTTTGTTACTGTTCATCATTAGATTGGTTCCAAAAGAAAACACTGTATTTGGCAGGGTAATGAGACCTATCCCATAACACAGATCTGAACCTAATGAGGCTCTCACAGCCAGTCATGAGCTCCCAAATCCTCCCTCTCCCTGAAATACGTGTTCCAAGACCTCACAGTGCCTTTTATCCTTATCAAAACATGTCAGAATGAGGAAAAATAATAAGAGTTGTCCAATATCCAGGACATTTTTGAGATGTATAAATGTGGTTTGAAAAACTAAACAATTTAAACTGAGATTTGTGGACAATGTGATTGAAAAGGAAAAATAAATTGCAAATGAAAAGGAGGCATACTTCAGAAACAACTGGTTGCAATGACTATTTCTCTTCTTTCTTACAGGTCTTTTGTTGTTGTTTTGTTATAAAGCAACTTAATTCAATGCATGGGGTCTCTCATAATTTTTCCTCAAGGCTGTCACTCTACCACTTGATGGTTAATTGGAGCTAATAGTCTCACAGGATTTCCTGCCAGGGCTGGCTTCAAACACGATCTTCAAATCTCAGCCTTCCAAATAGCTAGGATTACAGGAATAAGCCACCAGGGCCTGGCACATGTGTGCTATAAAACAGTATTTAATCTTACTGAAATAATGCATTATTAGTTACATTAGTACCCATGGGGCTTGGTGGATCTTTCCAGCACCTGGAAAGCAGGTTTGCTTACTTCTTCTTCATTCATTCAAGCATTAACTCCTTGCCATATCCCTCCGTGATTACTGCAACCTTATGTTTGAACTGTTAATATTTGTTCTGATACGTAAATTCACATGTACATGCTCACTTTTATCTGACTGCCACGGTTTGTCAGTGCTTATTGTCAAAGATATTCCCCAAAGATAAAGAAAGGTACTGAATAGCAACTTACCAGTTGTGAAGAGAAGTTTTCTAGGATCCTGGGAAAAAGGGAAAAAATATTTGATTGAAAAATAAAACATTGATGAAATAAAATTCTATTGGTAAGTAGCCAGGTATTAGACCTGTGTATTTGAGCATCTCAAAATGTGTTCTTCCAGTTTACATGAGACTCACATTTCATAACATGTTTACAAATAAAAAGTCAATACAAAGAAAAAGGCAGGGCATGAAAACCTAGTGTTAATGTTAGTTAAGCAATGGACTTAAGCTGACTGTTCAACCATTTTGACTCAATAGCTTAAGCTATCATGTTAGGTTTTACTATGTTGCCTCAGCTGGTATTGAATTAATGGGCTCAGATGATCCTTCGACCTCAGCCTCCAAGACATTGAACTGTAGGTACCACCAAATCAGTCTTAACTTCATTAACATATGCCTACCTACTGCAATTGCCAAACTGCATCTAAGAAGACACTGACAATGAAGTGTGTTGAGGACTGTACACTGTAAACTTAGAACAAAGACCGTTAATGGAGAATTTATTTTGTTTCAGATGCTAACAAAAATAACTCACATAAGTTTCTGGTATTTGGAAATTAAAAACAGTAATATTGCTAATGCAATATTGCCTTTAAGCAACATCTGTCTTGCTGTTATGTACTCTAGTCAACTTTTTCTATTTTCTGGAAAATGTGGGTCAGTCCTCAATAGATCTATGGATTTCATTTTCACCCTTATGGTACTTACTATTTAGGACTATTGAATCTCTCTCTTCATGCATCCATTTTATCTGAGGGTTAGAGTACACAAAGCAAGTAGGGAAGCATATAGTATAATTCAGATGCCTTGACTAAGGACTACACATCTAGAAACAGCTTTTCACCTAACATAGGTCAAATGATTTACCATTTTGAAATGTGGATAAGAGGTGATCAAGAGAAAGCCAATATGATCATTTTAGTTTTATCTTTTTTTTTTCAGTGCTGGGACTGAATGCAGAGCTTGGCATGTGCTAGACAATGTGCCACCACTGACTACACTCCACCCCTGAGAAAACCAATGTGTTTCCATCTCATAAAAACATGAATTGGGCTGAACAAGTGCTCACACAAGAGCTATGAACAAATAAACATGGTAACCAGAAGATATAAATATGACTACTGTCAGGGAAGAAGATGGAACATAAGAGTGAGAGATGAGTGAAAAGATGAGATAGATTTAAACTGAGCCCCAGGACCCAGGACTACACTGCAGCCACAGCTGGAGAATGGTTATTCCAGGCAAGGTAGAGTCAAAGCAAGGACACTAAAGAATAGGGAAGGAAGTTTGCCTATAATAATATATGTGTTGATTTTATATGAGTATGTGCGGTATGCATGTGTAGTATGTGTATGTGTAGTATGTGTGTGGTATATTAGTATATGCATATGAGGTATGTGTGCAGGAATGTGTGGCTTTGTGCAGTGTGTGTGATACATTTGTATAAGACTATGTATGGAGTGTGTTTGGTATGTATATGAGGCTGTATGTATGAATATGCATGTATGTAGGAGATGTGTGGTATATTGCATGAGTGTATATGTTTTCTATATACATGTGAAGTTTGTACATGTATTTCAACTACATCAAGCACACAGCCCTATACCTGCTAGATAGTAAATACATATTTATTAAAAGAGGAGAAAGAACAAAGGGCCACATGAAAGAAAGGGTAAAATAACAAAGGAAAGGAGACATCCAGTTTTAAACAGTGAGTGGCCACTTTCATCCATTAGATTTGCAAAACAAACAAAAAAACAAACAGAAACAAGTCTGAGAAGTAACTACTCTGATACAATGCAAGTAGAAGTATGTATACTGGGAAGGCCTTTTGAGAACTATCTACTTTGTTTTCCATTTATTAAAATTGTTTTGTACTATTGCTAAAGCTTAAAATCTGCACTTTGAGTTAAAGTTTTTTGCCTATGTATCTGCATGGCAGATATGAAAAAAGAAATGAGTTTACTGGGATGTGGTTAATGCCAATCCTGGAATCAACAAAACACCTGTGACTAAGGATGGTGCACAAAATAAAAGATGGTGCATTCATTGAAAAAGATCTGACAGATTTGTGTGCATGATGACATACAGAACTCAACATTTTCACTCATTCCTACTAATCTACCCTTTCCCTCATTTTTTGTAATTTTGTAAGACACATATTGAATTTTTGACTGCATTCTCCTCCTAAATTAAGAAACTTGATGCCTCCATCAGAAAGAATGACATTGCCCCATTTATTAGGAAATGGAAAGACTTGGAAAAAATTATATTAAGTGAAGTAAGCCAGGCCCAAAGAAACATACATCCCATAGCTTCCCTTATTTGCATAACTAGTACATGTGTAGGAACAGCAGAAAAACCCAAAAGCTATGTACATATGACAATATAAGATGATATTAAGCAAAAATGAACCCCAAGATAGAGACACAAATATCTTTTATATATCTTACTATTGTTTCTAACGTATTTATAATATACTATGTGATTTTTTTTGTTGCTTTTATGCTCCGCTCCAATGGTATAACCCCTGTTTTCACTGTATTTGATTCCAGTGCCCTGCATCTTATATATACACTTCTTGAATTTGGGGAGGGGAAGGAAAAAACAAAATGCTTAAATAGGGATACAGGTTGACCCATTGTAACAATGAGATGCACAAAACACTATGTTAAAAAACGAACTTTACAACTTAGGTGAGGAGGAGGGAGTGTAGTTGTTTGTGGAGGTGGGAGGGCAGGGATGGTAGGGGAAAAACAAAGGAGAAGGTAACAATGCTTGATAGGAAATGTACTCATTACCTTGCTCATGTAACTGTAACCCCTCTGTGAAGTATTTTTACAATAAAAAAACATTAAAAAGAATAACAACAAAAACAAAATCATGAAACTCACTAATATTTTAAATCTAATAAATAATTGTTGAAGATCCACAAACAATAACCTACTTCTCTGCCCTTCCCCCTCAGCCCAGTATGTGACTTATTAAGGTACTTTTAACCTGCAATGGAACTGTTGATACCCTCCACTGAATGACTGGAATTAGACAGAAGCTGGTGAGAGTCAGATGTGAATGACAAGCCTCTGAATATGGCAGCATATAAATGGTAGATACTGCAAACTGCCATTTTCAGCAGGAAAGACTGAAATAGTAATTACCTATACTTTCTATTGAAAGGGAATAGAACTCAACTTGACAACTGCATTTCAAAAAGCACTCTTAAGAAGCATCAAGGTATAAACTTGCTGTGAAGAGAAAAAAAAATCACAAAGCCTCATTAGTCATCTAGTCAATAGTGAAGGAAAAATGGAGAGACAGAGACCACCCACCTCATGTCGATATCTTGCTGCATTCAGCTCAAGGAAATCTTCACTGTAGTTCACTGAGAAGTTGAGGGCATTTATCAGGTGGGCAGCCACATGTACACCTATGGAACCACACCACGCACACATCAGGGAGGTTTTATACGCCCAATGCCAAGGAGCAAGTAAAGGTCAATAAAGGTCAAAAGTTTTGACAACAATATAAGCAATGAAATATTAAACTCAAAGTGCTTATAATACAAACAAATACATCACCTGAATAACAACCATCAATCAGACTTTCAAAGACTTTAATGAATTATTAAGTCAGGTTAAGGGAAACAAGAGAAAGGTAATTATACCCCCATCATACACACATACATTATAGTATCTGTAATGGCTAGCTGACTCCACCCTCCTCGCAGCAAAGTCTCCACCCAGTACCTGCGTTACCTAGGCAACTGGGACACCTGGAAGAGGTCACGTCTGCATCAGCTGAGGTTACATCTGAATTTGATGTGGCCACACCTTTCTCCACCCTTACCCTAGATAAGGCCTAGCCCAGGCCCTGGTGCTCTCTCTGTTCATTTCTAGCTCTCTGCTCTCTGTGTTCTATTCTAGCTCTTTGCTCTCTCTGTGTTCTATTCTAGCTCCCTCTCTGTTCGTTTCTAGCTCTCTGCTCTCTCTGTTCTTTTCTAGCTCTCTCTGCTCTCTTGCTGTTCTTTTCTAGCTCTATCTATCTCTCTCTGCTCTCTCTCTGCTCTAGCTCTTTCCTCTCTCTTTCCTCTCTTTCCCAGCTCTCTCTCTTTCCTAGGCCTTTCCCAGCCGTGTGGAGTGCCAACCTTGCCTGGTCCCAGCAGGTCTACTGAATAAACCTACCCCTTACCTGAATACCACGTGCGTGCTGGTGCTGTTCTTACTGGGCTACCTCTTTTTAAAAACCTAACAGTATCTAATAGGCATTTATTTATTTTTTACTAAGTGGCTCCTGATGTTCCACATCTTTCATCTCTCCCTTATATTCCAATCTTTTATATATATATACATATATATATACACACATACATATATATTATAAACTTCACTGTCACACAAATAAAATATAGGCCTATTAAAAGGTTTTTAACCACTGAATACCTTTTCCAATCCATAGATAAAAGCTTAAGCCAATAGAAAAATTTTAGGAACCACCTATTGAAACAAAACTTATCTGTTTTCTTGATTAGAAACTTATCTGCAGTGGCACAGCAGTGGTCAGTCAATATAGAACTCATACAAAAGATGAAGTGTAATGAAATTATGAGAAACTTTAAGACAAACTCATTTTGACATAGTTAAGGAAGAAGAAAATTCTCTTAAGGAGGATGGGGGCAAGGAAGGTACAAATAAGATACATGATCAGCCCTTCAAACCTTCTGGCTTTGCCAACTTTATCTGTAAAGTGTTAATTGTATGTGCTTATGGGGCACAGTAATTCAATATAACAAGTACTGATCAAACCCAAGTAATTAATATCTCCATTTCAGCATTACTGTAAGGACTCAAGGCTCTTCTCTTCTCATAATTCATAAAATATATGCTAGACTATTGTGAAATACAGTCACCCCACAATGTTGAATATAAACTAATGCCTTGATAGATTTCCACTATGTGTCCTCGAGTAATTTCAAATATTTTATTGATATTTTTTATCTCTTTTTGGTTTAATACTTATTTAGAGTAAGAGATAGTTTCCATTTTCTGCACATGAAGAGTGCCAGGAACCAAGTGCTGTTTGCTAGAAAATACAGCTACTACCTTCAACCAAGTGCTGTTTGCTAAGAAAACACACTACTACCTTTGATAAGAGCTGTTAAGCCTTGGAGCCTATTGATACCCTGTTTGACAACATTGCTTTGCCCCACCACTTTCCATAAGAGCTGTTACGCCTTACAACTTACCGATGTCCTGTTTGACAACATTGCTTGACGCCTTCTGAAGATTCCCCACCTATGACCTTTTGCAAGATATAGTTTGCAGTTTTGGTGCCTAGCAACCCTATTGATCTGCTGATGCTAATTACCCTGCTCAGCGTGCTATATATACTGCTGTGTAAAAAATAAAGTTTGAGACCTTGATCAGAACCCTGTCTTGGTCTCCTTCCTCGTGTCTGGTTTGTCTCTCATTCAGGTCAGTTCCTCTTTGAGCCCTTGTTGAGCAACCCTGCAGGCAGGGGCAGAAGAGGATACAGTATTCTTGGTACCATTTATTGAAGAGGCTCTTAATTCACCAGTGACTGTTTGGTAGTTATAAATAAATGAAGCTATTTCTTTCTGAGCAGTTCATTTTGTTCCATTGGTCTGTGTGGTCTGTTTTATGGTACTGCTATGCTGTTTGGATTACTACAGCTTTGTTGTATATTTTGAGGTCTTCAGCTTTGTTCTTATTCTGCTCAAGATTGTTTTGGCTATTTGGAGTGTTGTGTTTCCATACAATGTTTAAGATGGTTTTCTCTAGTTCTGTGATGAAATGTCATCAATCTCTGTTGCAAATTGCATTAATTTAATAAAGTACTAATGGCTTTTTAAATCCGGTATAAAGGAATGATTCAAAAAAGAAAGAAAGAAGCTGAACTTCACTGAAAATAAATTTTTCTGCTCTGTAAAATATACTGAGAATGAAATGGCAAGACAGACTGGGATAAGATTTTTGCAAAGGACAAATATTACAAAGGATTCTTATCATGAACACATGCATAAAACTCAACAAGATTACAATCCAATTTAAAAAGTTAATGAAAGATAGCTCAGCAAAGGTGTTATGTAAACACACAATGCTCTTCACAAGCTATCAAAGACTTACAGGGACACAGAAAAGATCACTGATGGTGAGAATGCAAAATGATGCTATGACTTTGGAAGACAGCTTTGTGGCTTTTTAGAAAATTGAATAAAATCTTACCATGGAATCCATAAATTTCTTGATTGCATGTTTACTCAAAGGAGCTAAAAGCCTAAATCCATGAATAAACTCATACGCCAATATGCACAGGGACTTTGTCCTTAATTGCCAAAATGTGGGAGCCAACAAGCTGGTCTTCACTAGGTCAATGGATAAGTAAATCATGGTGCAGCCATGCTGTAGAATATTAGTCAGTGCTAAAACAGCATGCAGGGAAGGGAACATAAATCTATACTATGAAGTGAATGCAGTCAATCTGTAAAGGTGACATACATATGATTCCAACTGCATGGCATCCTGGACAAAGCAAAGCTGGGGAGACAACAAACATCATTGGCTACCAGAACAAAAACACAGGTCCCATGGTTTGCCTTATTTGTAATAATTAATATACGTCTAGGAAAATCTTAGCAGATGAGCAGAATAGTTTGATAGCTATGGACATATGACCATATAAGAGGATGCTATGCAAAATGAACTCCAAGACATGGACACAAGAGACTTTTCTTTGTTATTTTTGTTTTTAATGTACTACATGATTTCTTTTTTCTTTTATGTCTCCCCCCTCCACACGCGCCATGGTTTATGCCTTGTTGTCACTGCTTTTGATTTTGGTCCCCTTGGCATTGTATATATGTGTATCTGAATTAGGGAAGAGAAGAGGAACAAAAAATGGTGAGATAAAGGACAAAGTGGGGAACCAATACAACACTCACAAGACACTATGTTGGAAATGATCTGTACAACTTGGGGGGTGATGAGGTAGGAAAGAAGGAGAAAAATGTGGGAAAGGGTAACAAGTTCAACAAGAAATGTACTCACTACCTTACTTATGTAACTATAACCCCTCTGTACATCACCTTGACAATAAAATTATAATAAAAAACAGAAACTTAAAAAAAGAAAGAAGAATGCATAGACAAAACATATAGATACTTAGGACAGTAAAAATGTGCTGTCAGATACAACATTGGCAGATATATATCAGACATTTTCAAAACCTATGCAATGCATGTCACCAGGAGTGACCCTATAGGTAAATATTGAGTAATAATAATAGGACACCATAAGCCAAGCACTGGTGATTCACATCTGTAATACTAGCCACACAGGAGACTGAGATCTGATGATCATGGTTCAAAGCCAACCCAGGCAAGAAAGTCCGTGAGACTCTTATCTCCAATAAACTACACAGAAAAAGCCAAAAGTGATGTGTGGCTCAAGTGGGGAAAGCTAGCCTTGATCAAAAAATAAGCTCAGGAGTAGCACCCAGGACCTGAGTTCAAGCCCCAGGACTGACAAAAAGAAAAAGAAAAAGAAATAGCATAATTTCACTAATGAAAACAAATTTACATGTGGAGGGGGAATAAGGAAACAAGTACATGTAGTATAGAAGAATTCTATTTGCTGTAGAGCTACACTCTAAAAAATATTTTTAATTATTTAACAAAAAGTAAAAGTAAACAAAGTTGGAAGTGGATCAACTAATAAACAAGTATAGTGTTCCAAGTAAAAGATGTAATATAATTCAATTATACCACAGTCAAATAAACAAACAAAAAATAGTTAAACAAAATGCCCTGTATCTTACAGTTTTACCAATTCTGAAATCTAAAAGAAATCTTACCATGTGAAAGATAGGTCTATATTTTGAATACACATTGTATGGCTAAACATGGTAATATATACCTATAATCTAGCAAATAGGGAGCAAAATAGCAAAATACACCTCCAGCTCAAAGCCACCCAAGAAAAGTAGCAAAACTCTATCTCAAAAACAAAATATTGTACAAACAAAAGATTAAAAAATTAAAAAAAATTTATTGTGAATTAACCTAACCAAAAGTAAGTCTCAAATAACAGTTATATAAGATAGTATATATCCACTGTCATTATAATCTTTCACATGAAAAGAATTTAAGGCAGCTGGGAGGTAAGTTCTGCCAAGTTCCTTGCATGGATTGTCTCATTCAATGCTTTTTTAAAAATATATATACTTTTTATTGTAAAGATACCGTACAGAGGGGTTACAGTTACATGAGCAAGGTAATGAGTCCATTTCCTATCAAGCATTGTTACCTCCTCCTTTGTTTTTCCCCTACCATCCCTTTTCTCCTCACATCACCAACTCCTCCCTCCCCCCATCCAAAGTTGTAAAGTTCATTTTCAACATAGTGTCTTATACATCTCATTGTTACAATCGGTCATCCTGTATCCTTGTTTCACATATGGTTATATCCCTTCTCCTCCCCCCAAATTAGAAATATGTATATACAGGATGCAGGGCACTGGAATCAAATTCAGTGAAAACAGGGGTTATACCATAAGGGAAGAACATACAAAAGAAATAAAAAAAAATCACATGGTACATTCTAAATACGTTAAAAACAACAGCAAGAAAGAAAAAACCACATGTGTCCCTTTCTTGGAGTTCATTTCACTTACCATCATCTTATCTGGTCATATGTACATAGCTTCTGACCTTATTAAGAGCTGTATCAAAACATTCCTCAGTAGATATTATCATATATAAATATCCAGTCAAAATGATATTAATATAAGAGCTGAGTGCTAGTAGTTTATTCCTGTATCCCTAGCTACTCAGAAGGTTGGGATGAGAGAATCTCAAGGCAAAGCCAGCCCTGACAGAGAATCTCTCCACATTCTTAGCTCCAATTAACTAGGAAAAACAACAAAAACAAAAACAGAAATGAAATTGGGGCTCAAGTGATAGAGCACTCAACCTTGAGTTTATAAAAAAAACTAAGTAAAACCAAGAACAGGAAAAGAAGAAAATGAAGTATTTTACCATATATCATTTCAGGTGACATCACATTTCGTATATGAAAACTTCAAGTAACTAAGTTCGCCCTATGTGATTACTTGCAAAGCTTAAAAACTTGTTGTCTATTTCTTTAAATATCTAAAAATACAATAATTTATATTTAGGAAATAGTTCTTATCAGCTAGGAGGCTAAATTTTGGACATGGTAATTTTAAAAGTCATATGACAATCCTATTCAAACTCATAAAAGACTAAAGTGACCCATGTAGTAAGAACAAATCAACTTCATGACAGCTGATAATATAAAAGAATCAAACTATTCATTTACAATTAGGAAAGCAGGTTATTTTACTGGCGTATTTATGATCTTTGACTTTCTCACCTGAAAAAATACAGATGGTAACCCCACAGGTGATGTGAAAAGTCCTGCTCTTATCCAGCATTCTTCTGGTCATTCTGCTTGGGATCTAAATAAAAGTTGTTTAGTATGTAAAACAATGAAACTAATAAGATATTTGTACTACATTTTAAGTAGTTCTGTCTAGAATATCAAGATTTTGGAAACAGAGTAAAGACTTACTAATTAAATTTTAGTGTGGTGAGTTCTCTTGTCACCCTAGCTACTCAGGAAGCTGAGGATCAAGGCTTGAAGCCAGGCTGACAGGAAAATCCATGAGACTCTGACTTGCAACTTATCCCAAAAAAGCCAGAAGAGGAGCTGTGGCTTAAATGGTAGAGTGCTAGCCCTTGGGGTGGGGAACCTCAGAACAGTACCCAGGATCCCAGTTTAAGTCACACACACACACATACACACACACATATGCACACACACACACACACACACAATTACTGAAATGAACTATAGAATATCTGGTCAACAGAAGGCTCAAAACATTCAAAGGAATATAAAAAGGTTATATGATTGATTAGAAATAATTTTCAAGATACATCGTTAAGAAAAATGCATAAGAGATGTCACTGTGGTTCTCTTCTGCTCGAACTTAATGTATTGCATATTAATATCTGCAGACATTTATCCCAAACTGTTATCAGTAGTTGTTCTGGCAGAGTAAGATTAAGAAAAATGTTTTCTGGTAATTTTGCATATTTCTGGAAGGTTTGAATATCACAGTATATATGCTTTCTTTTTGTAGTAAAAGTAAACTTATTTTTAAATGGTGCAATATCACCCATGGTTTTAAAGGCCTGCTTGATGTTGTAGAAATATAAATGTCAAGCATCTTTGAATATCTGTATTTCACACTGAGCAACAATTCTTTAAGACTTATTAAATACTGAGAGACCACGGCGGGAACTTTTCACTTTCTGCCACTTATCTCCTTTTGCTTCATGCCAAGCCAATGGCCAGCCACAGGGACCAAAACTTAGCATTTAACAATGGTAGGCTACCTACAGAAAGCTATTTCCACAAATTACTGCATTAAAATAGTTTCCAAAAATAAGTACATAAAAGAGTTGACAAGTTTGGCTACAATAAACTTTTATATATGAACTTCATAGAACTTCAAAGTAAGTTCATGCTAATATGATTTTTTTAAAAAATCATTATTAATCCAATATCACCTTACTACCATAGTGAAGAATAAATGGATGTACACACATATGTTTGTTTGCAAGCTCACAGGACTACACAAAATAATCAAAGACAAAAACCAATTTCATTTGAGTTTTAATATAATGACTGCTAAAGTATTTTGTTATCTCCTCCTTTATTTAACATTTCTAAATATTTATCACACAGGACAATAGCTATTTTATCAAGTCATCGTTTTCAAGCCTATTCTGCTGCTGTAAATGGTATGCAAGTTAAGTAGAGATGAGTTGCCAATGCTAGCAGTCTTTCTATTCACTGCTCAAAGGCAAAACTAACTTGCTTACCTGAATGTAAGAAACTGAAAACATAGGATGCCGGTGAGCATGGAATACTGGAAAGAGTTCAGAATTTGGACTGACTAGCTATGCCATCCAGTAGATTTATGATGTCAGTCTAGTCATTTAACATTCTCTATGCCTCATATTTCTTGTATATAAAATGGACTATTAATACCTGATTACAGAATCATTATAAGGTGTCACAGTCATGTATGCAAAGGGTTGAGCACAGTTCCTGAACATACTGTGAATGTCATTTCTGCTATCATCCACTTTTATCTAGGTGATAGCCCACTGATTACCTTATTATGTTTCTTTCTATCACCACTAAAGTTCTCTAAACAAAATCAGACCAGGAAAAGTAAGCAGGATGAACAGATGACTGTTGCACTTGATTGTTACACTGAGAGCCGTGACTTACCTTACTTGAACCTCGCAGAAAAGCCAGGAGTGTCCGGCACATGGGTAGAAGAATAAGGCTGCAGTTGAAGTTGAGAACAGATGCAGAGGCTCTGCTTAGACACAATCCTAGCTGAACAAACAAGGCAAGGGTCAAGATATAATCAAGAACAAATCACAACAGCCCTGACATGTATGCTCTACGTTTTATCCTGCTCCTCTTTAAACACCATGGCAATTACCAACTCCCTCAAGAGTCCTGAAACCAAGAGTCCTCTTAGAAAAACTAGTTTCTTTCTGCTCTGAATGGCCATAAAACTAAGTTCTTCTCTCATTTCTGCTGCTACCATAAGCACTTGAGCACATCCTTTCAGCTGAGGGACAATTTCTCCCTCTTTCCTTCTTCTGGCCTGAACAGGTACTGGTCTCAGAATTGTGTTTTCTGTACCTCTGCAATCAGGACATATTGGAATCTTTTCACTAGTGAGTCTCCAAGAGCTGTAAATGACACTTTTCTCATTTGTATTCTCTCTCTCAAGTTCTCTCCATTCCCACACAAACCCACTCCTGTACTACATCTCACTTCCAAACATATCACCTTGGTAACTCCACTCAGCTCCTAGATTTCATCTACAGCCCTTCTTTCTTGAGATTTACTCTGACCTAAAAATAGGAGACATCCTACTGCCATAAATTCTCTCATTATTTTTCTTTTTGTTCTTTAGAATGTCTTTTGACACTCTTTACAATTGTTCTATTGCATGTTTTCATTTATTAATTTAAAAAATAAATGTCGCACATATTTATGGGGTACAATTTGATGGGTTTTAGGCAGACAATTGAGAATGACCAAGATACGTTAATATATGTATGTATCATCTGAAGTATATACCATCCTTTTCTTTATTTTGAAGCATGTAATGCATTATTATAAACTGCCATCACCATGTGGTTAAATAGCTTATCAGAAACTGTTTCTATTGCCTACCTGCAACAGTGAACCCTTCAAGCAATCTCTCCACATTCCTGACCCACCATAATTCCACTAGCTGCTTCTGCAAATTTGACTTCTTTACATTCTAAATATAATATCATCATATTTCTTTGTTTATCTTGCATATGACCTCTAAATGGATCCATGCTGATGCAAATCACCAAGTTTAAATAAGACAGTTTGGAAGAAAAGCTATTCATGTGTTTAAGATTGTTTGGAGATCAGGACATATCCAACTTTCAACTGTTTGTTTATAGTTCCATTTCTCATTTGATCACAGTTAATTTAAAACAGTATTTATTTATTTGTTTATTTATTTATTTTTGCCGGTCGTGGAGCCTGAATTCTGGGCCTAGGCGGTGTCCCTCAGCTCTTCAGCTCAAGGCTAGCACTTTACCACTCGAGCCAGAGTACCACTTCCAGCTTTTTCTGCTTATGTTGTGCTGAGGAATCGAACCCAGGGCTTCATGCATGCAAGGCAAGCAATCTACCACTGAGCCACCTTCCCAGCCCCTAAAACATCATCTTTATATGAAAATAAATGAAGAACATTATGAAATGGAACCCCAAAACACACACAGTTCAGTTTGTCCACATGATACTTATAAATATATTGTTTCCGTGCAGTTTCAGGTAGTAGTTAATATTACAATTCCTCTTACAAACTGGTAATAGTGTGTCCTGGAGGAATTAAGAAGTGATTCAACATAAAAAAAATTATGAACTTCAAGTGGATCAGAGATGTCAATGTCAGACCTGAAACTGTAAAAACCACTAAAAGAAAATATCTTTATATTTTTATTTTCTGAATAAAATTCCAATAGCTCAGCAACTAAGGGCAAGAATGGATGAATAAGACTGCATCAAATTTAAGATTTCTGTATACCAAGAAAGCTAATCAAAAAAGACTGCCATAGTTGTAAAATGATTTAAGAGCTCTTTACAAATTATTTTCATTATTAATATATTAAATACAGTGATTAAAAAACCTGGTGAAGCTTTTTAATGTAATCTTCAGATAAACTCTGTGAAACAGATTTAGTAGATGTCATTATTGGCACTTCAGAAATTAAGAACTATTTTAAAGTAAAAATAATTGGGTTTGTAACCAGAAATCTGTTTCCTAGCATGGGGTGGCATCTGACAATAAATGTGTCTGAAAGTTCCCCAGATTATTCTAATATGCAAAGCTGGGTTGAATCTTAAACTGGCTCCTCCATAATTCTTCGAAAGTTATGGAAAATGACAACCATTAAATTTGAATAAATAAACATAATTGTGTTTTTCCAAATTCACCATCTTAGTTTAATTTTGGTTAATTATTACATCAAAATATAAAAGTAATTAATCTAAGAAGGCATAAATTTAAAAAGTGATAGCACAGACTTCATCTTCAGAAGGCTGTCAGAGTAAAACAAAACAAATGCTTGCTATTACCTTAATAGAAAAAAAAAAAAACAATGAACCAAATGTCTTAATGAGTCACAGAAAATATTTTCAAGACACACATGGCGGCTAACACCTATAATCCTAGTTATACAGGAGGCTACCTGTGGGTCTCAGTTCAAAGCCAGCTCACAGAGAGAAACCCAAGACTTACATTTCCAATTAACTAGCCAAAAGCCAGCACTAGAGATGTGGCTCAGGTTGTAGAGTGAGCATTAATCAAAAGCCAAGTTTACCTGGTGCACAAGTTGAACCTAGAGTTCAAGCCCCAGTACCAATACAAAAATGAAAACATTTCCAAACCTTGCTATTTAATTTTAAAAGCTATTTAATTAATTTCACTGACATCTGAGTGATGTTAGAATGGAGAAGGGGAACATATTGCCCAAGTTAAACAAGTAGCAAGAAATGGACTTTGTACCCTGCACTGATCTTTTTCATCTCAGGCTAAAACTACAACAGAACTTTAGCAATAAAGGATACAGGAAGAAAAATAATAAAGTAACAGAAGTGGGGAAAGCCTGCTCCCAAAACTCCCATGGGTTTCAAGCATTGTGACTTAGTTGCTGGTAGAGTGCAATAAAGAAGCTAAGGTCTTGAGTTTCATCTCTCATCAAGCCTGATTTCTTCATTTCATTCTTTGGTTATGAGCTACCTCTGTATCTCTAGCCAGAATACTTATTTTTCAGTTGTACATTCATAAGCATGTCTGTATCTGAATAAGCGTCTGAATTCTCTGAGCTCTCTGCATTGTTTTGCTTCCCATAAGACCAATCCCTAGACAATTTCCAAAAGGTATGTCAATCTCTCCTGTCTGCCTCTCAACAACACAATCTGCCACTATGGAATTGGCTCATTCTCTTCTATTCGTTTTTGAAACCCAGCTTCTCAAATGTCAGCTTATATTATTGTAGAAAAGCATTATGAAAAATGAAAATTCCCATTGCTATATTAAATATGTGGACAAAAGGAAATGTACTTTTTACAAAAACTGTGAATCAAGAAAATTCCTAGCTCTATTATTACTTGTAGAATATGAATGCTAATCTATCTATCAAAATAGTCAACTGATAAATCTTGAGTGACTAAGTGAATGAATGAAAGGGGAAAAACAAATCGTTTAAATAGGGATACAGGTGGACCCATTGCAACAATGAGATGTACAAGTCATTATGTGGAAAAATGAACTTTACAACTTTGGTAGGGGGCGGGGTAGAGGGGAGGATTGGCTGGGGGGGGGGGGGGGAGGATGGGAAGGGATGGGAAGGGGAAACAAAGGAGAAGAAGGAGATAAGAAATGTACTCATTGGGGCTGGGAAGGTGGCTCAGTGGTAGAGCGCTTGCCTTGCATGCCTGAGGCCCTGGGTTCGATTCCTCAACACCAAAGCCAGAAGTGGTGCTGTGGCTCAAGTGGTAGAGCGCTCGCCTTGAGCTGAAGAGCTGAGGGACAGCGCCCAGGCCCAGAGTTCAGGCCCCACTACCGGACCCAAAAAAAAAAAAGAAAAAGAAATGTACTCATTATCTTGCCCATGTAATTGTAACCCCTCTGTACAGTATTTTCACAATAAAAAATAAATTAAATAAATAAAAATCTCTAAATAAATTTAGATAAATACATTTGATGTACATAAACACACAAATGTTTGTATTAACAGATTTTTTTAATATTGAGATTTAGTCTATGCCAGGTACTGGTGGCTCACATCTGTAATCCTAGCTACTCAGGAGACTGGGATCTGAGAATCATGGTTAAAAGACAGGAAAGTCCATGAAATCCTTATCTCTAATTAACCACTAAAGAGCTGGAAGTAGAGTTGTGGCTCAAGTGGAAGAGTGTTAGCCTTAAGCAAAAAGAGCTCAAAGATAGTGCTCAGACCCTGAGTTCAAGCCCCAGGGTCCACACAAAAAAATAAGATAACATAAAAAAAGATTTAATCTAAAACAAAATATTTAAATTCAATACTAAGGTTGTAAAATTAGAGAAAGGCAAATGAAGGAGTCTTTGTAGAGAATATTTATAAGTCATAGGCATTAAAACCAAATTGGCCAAAATTCAAATACTATTACCTCTTTTGTGCCTTGGGGAAATTATTTGTACTTTCTGATCTGTGCTTTAATCATTTGTGAAGATAAAATAATAACATCTTTAGAAAAACCTGAATAAAGAAAGCTACTTGAAAATGTCCACAGGAGGATTTCTGCTATTAAATGTTATATTTATTCAACTTTGTTTTATTCTTTATTTTTTACATAGAGAAAGATAAATAAAAGGAAAGGAAAAAAGGAGAGAGGTATTTTTTTTAATTTTGTATTTCCAAAAGAAAAAGAATCTTCCAGTAATTCACTGCATTGTTTTATACTCCTCAATCCTTTGTTTACCTGCATTCTTTCTCAACAATGAAAAGAAGGAAGGAAACAAATGATAGAGAATAAGAAATATAGAAAGATATATAAGAAGATAACACTGTTCAAAAAGAAATGTACTCAATACCTGATTTAACAATACCTGACTACAATAAAAAAATGTTTTTAAAAAAGAAAGGACATACTATCACATTCTCATCTATTCTTTTTTTAATTTTAAGGTTTTATTTTATGTACTTTTCTTGTAAAGATAATGTACAGAGGGGTTATAGTTACATAGGACAGGTAATGAGTACATTTCTTTATGAACAGTGTTACCTCTTCACTTG